TCAACCAAAAAGTGGGAGAAACTATGAAAAAAAAATTAATTTTATTCTTAAAATTTGATAATCGCAGAAAAGTTAGGGAAATAGTTTCGATTTTTGCCTATTGAAGCTAATGAGGGTGGTTGAGGTTCAGCAAAGTTTTCTGTCGGTCAAGCAACGTACTCAGCCCGTCCCGATCTAAAATGTCCTCAAATAGGTTGCTGAATCGTTGTTTTACTTTAACGTCCTTTTTTCTTTCATGTCTTTCAAATGTAGATGCATAGTAAAGATATAACATTGATCAGGAGCTTGGGGCTCGGATTACTGCAATCCAACTTCCACTAATATTTTCTCCGAGGATGATCCATTGCCATAGCCGGATTTTAATTTATGTACGGATAAGAAATATATCACGATAAGGGAAATTGTCTTTGTCACAGGAAAAGAGAGCACATATGAGCGTAATATAAAATTTCTTAAACTCGACAGTTATTTTGCTTGTCAATATAACAATTTTTTGAAGTGCCAAGGGGAAAAATTGCAAGTGTACTCTTTCGTCGTGACAAATATTATCATCATTATGACAAGAAACAGTGTTGTTGAGGTAATGAAATTTTATTGGGTGGGTTTTGTATGGGAGCATACGCCACTCAACTGTTTCAAGACAGTGAACTTTTTCAATGCAATGGTGATTTATTGTTTGCCGTATACCAGGAGAATATATATCAACATAAATCAAATGTTTTTTTCTCATAAGAAAAAAGAAGCGTGGCGGTTAACATTAAATGGGAAGCCCTCATAAGATTAAAACGAAAATAAGGTCCACTCTCCACTTACTCCTTCAATAGAACAGATCTACTGAGCTTCACTGTACCTAATTTGGGCCAGTTTTGGAGCAGTAGGAATGGGCGATGCTACTTAAACTATAGTTGATGTATTGAAATATACATCGCAATAAATGCACAACGAACATTTATAAGCTCATCGCGGATGACAATGCAGCTTTCTGTATTGGATAATGGAACAAGATATGCTGCCTCGTCCAAGATTCACGCAAAACTACAAAACATGTACGATACCTACCAACAGGTTCATAAAATCTTTTAATCGATTACAGGCTCAATCTAAGTGTAGCAGCGATATGAATGTGCCTTTTGGATAGGCAACTATTCGTGCTTTTTGATATGTTTGTTGCCTGTGCGGAAAAATTGAAGGCGGACCTCAGGTGGATAATTCAACAGGTCTACGCTTTATCTATTGGTTCTTTTCATGGAGCGAGGAAATGTGTTTTTATGTGTTAACTACTACCATAGTTAATTTGAAATACATTTAATGCCAAATTTTGCTGGCTAAGCTGCATAGAACATGGTAATTGATTAAAAATCAAAATATCAAATTTTTTACTCAATTGCCATGTTAATATGAAATGTCCTTATATCATCCAACAAATGGACGGAGTTAAACAGAAAGGAACCAAGCCACATCGGGATCAAACAGAGAAAAAGAGGTTTAAAGTTTGGCTCCTGCATAAGGCTCAATGTAAAAGATAAACTTCAAGTTCAATTTCTGCAAAATTTGCTCCAGCAAAAACTTTGAATTTTTGGCGAATAGATAGTGGAGAAGTGGTTGAGTTCAAAACCACTCATGACTCAATTTTTTCCAAAATGTGGGTTGGCTCCTTTCTGCTTAACTCAGTCCAAATGGGAGTAGTATACTAAAATATTCGGGAATAATCCCAAACACTTTTTTCCTTTGAACAACACTCTAAATCATTTTGAAACGGCGCTTACGTAACCGTCCGTTATGCCTTTGGTGCCTTCAATCAACGGATCAATGCGCTGAGCTCGTGCCGCACATCGCCGAACAAACCATCGATTTTTTTGGATCGGTCAGGTTCCCGGGCGCGGGTGGTGGGGCCGACAAAGAAAGTGACGGCTGTTGAGCGGAACCGCGCTTTCGCGCAATTGTAATCAGCGCCCGGAATCAGACATCAGTTGCTTCGTATTGAATAAGACTCGACAGACATGCAACATCTCACAAGTCCATACCGATCTCCCGGCATGCGATCGAGATTTTGATCCGTTTATCGTATTTTTGATTCCAAGTTGGCAAAACCCTAATCGGGAGAGGACCCGATCGGTAACCAGATTTAGGCAGAGGAATTTCACTTCAATCCTGCATTTCCGCAAAACCGTGCAGATACTTCAAACCAGAGTATCTCCTCTTGATGCATGATCACGGTGTCTTCATTTCCCAATCAATCAATGACGCATTGACGCGCACCGGGGTCTCTTCATCGGCGGAGGTTTCACCGCCTTGTCTCGGTCTGGTAATCAGCATTTTTGGATTGAGTGTTTCTCAAATGCTGAAATGCTGAATGTCAAAAGACAGAGGCGGATCCTGCAATTTGGCAACACCGGATTTTCTCCATTTAAACATATGCTAAATTATCGATTCTTGTCGGAGCACCCGGACCCTCCAAGAATTGATACATTTCCATAGGTTGAAATGGTGGAAAGACAATATTGCCAATTTGCTGGATCGGTCAATGACAAAGAAGTCGCAGCTTGAAGGTTCAATAAGGAATCGGTTACTTCACACGACCAGTGTGTAATTTAAAAATCAAAAATTAAAAAAAAATGTTACACAATATACGAGTTTCCCTGCCAGGGAGCTCTTCCCGCAAGAAATCGTTCATCACCCGCCCGCCGGGAGCGCCGCGGCGCAGCGTGCTGCCAGCGCAAAACGCGCACTGACGCCTACAAACCTAAAGGACTACTTCACGCTTTGCGCAATGCTTGAAGTATCCCCTTAGGTTTGTAGGCGTCAGTTCGTGTTTCGAGCCGGCAGCACGCTGCGCCGCGCCGCAGCGTGCTATAAACTTGCACACAATAGGTCATGCTGTTAAAATCTTTGCAAATTGACATCAAATTCGAAATTAGCGACTCAAATAACATCAGCCACGAAACTTTTGTGATCTTTCAGTCATTATTCGACTTATTTCTTCCTATTGATGAGTTTTGGACCATGGTGCGCCACAGTCGGCGGCTCATGAAATCCTCCCCCGTGTTCAATCGGCAAGTCGGAACCGATAAACGGGACTCGGTCAAAACAGGAATGCATCAGTTCAGTTCTTCCGTGTTAAGGAAGCCCTCGCCCTCGGACAATGCAAAATGTCTTATGATAAATCGTAAATTATCTGGTAAACTTGTGGATATTTTTCTTCCAATTTTTTAAAGGTCATAATCTTAAGTATTGGAAAATTTCAACAAGGAATACGGTCACATTTCCAAAAAATACGAACTTGCCGAAAGAGCGTGTTTAAGTCCGAATTTTCATCCGAAGTTTCTCCTTCGCTTGGCAGAGCTAGAAACTTTCTTACTTTCTCAGAGTAACTTAATGTTTCGGTTGATGTAACCAAAAACTTGGATGATCAGTCAAATCCTTTAGATTGATTTAACCGAAAGGAAATAAAATATCCAAAAACATGAGCATTCTGTGTAGAGGTGTGAGTTTCGTACCGCGGTTACAGATCTTATATGAAAACAAAATGAAAGTCGAAACTATATTTTCAGAATCAAAGACTCGAGTCATATGCATATTATTTGTAGTCAACAAGCAACAATTTCACATTGAAATACGATTTGTTTCAAGAAATATCAGTGAAAAGTGCGATGAGATAGCGATTTGTCCGGCGAAATACATCATTTCCATTATTTTACCGTCGGTTCGGCCCAATTGAAAGTCATTTCAGTTGTTTTGCTTTGAAAAGCGGCCTTGTCCACTGTCCAGGCTTTGGGCTCTAAAACTACGCAATGGGTCAGTTGCGTTGGTCGCAGTATTTTGTTTTGATGCTTAGAATTAAGCACAAGAATTTGTGAATCAGCTATAAGTAAGGCCTTGTCTCCACGGGACGTTTTCATGGGATTTGCCAGAGGAATAACCATTCCTCTGGCAGAATCGACTTGAAGATTGTCACTACTGAAGATCACGCTGTATTTCACACAGCGTGAAGGAATGGTAAATTCTACCAATCTCATTTTTGAGTGCAACTGACCCATTCATCATCACACAATCCACTCACGTGGTGCTTTTAAAATACGAAATGAAAAAGGCAAGTTTTAGTGACCCATTCGGTTGTTCATTAGCATTAACACATTCGGTTGTGCATTAACATTACTCTGTTTTTTCTTCTTTTTTTCTGTTCCAGAGCGAAGCCAGAGGGCAGGAGTCTCGGCCTGTTAAGCACTGCCGCCGCGTCGTCACCCGTTGTTAGCCACGCGCGTCTCAACGTCAGTTCGTACGGAGCAGACGTCAAGGAGCGTCCATCGGAGGCAGTGATGCTCCCGTCAGGACCACCGAACTCATACCCGCGGAAAGTCAGGAAGAAAACTCAAATCCCGTCGCAGATACTCCTAGGGCAAGACGCTCAATGGTCCCCATAGTACAATGTCCTCGTGAATAACCCGTAGTTTGGCCCTCCCTGTGATTTCGGAAAAATGAAGTTGGACCACCTCTCGATCCAAGTGCGGTATTTCCTATGCACCCATCGAGAAGAGTCCCTTTCAGTTATGTGATAAATTGAAAGCATCATGCACATTTTGAGGTGTGCTGACAACGTGCGTGTCCGCGATTGTTTTTTGAGTATTGTCGGCTCGAGAACAGTACAAATACATGTTGTGCGTTGATTTTATGACGTATACCCTTGTGCGAAAATTGTTTTTAAAATATCGGAAGTAACTACGACCGGAATAGTGATAACTTATTGGACAGACAAGTAAGTGATTAGAAAAAACCAAGCAAAGTTTATTTTTTTGAAATAAAAATATATATTTATATATTTTTTCAGTTTATAAAATTGTGAAAACTCTGCTAAGCTGAGTGTCCGCGTCTAAAGTTTAGCTTGGCATGACTTATCGTAAAATAAAGTGTCCGGTGGCTCTTTCATTTTGCCGGAGTTAACGAGGTATGTTTGGATCCAGATAAAGTGTTATGAGAACTATGATTCAAAGGTTACAATACGATGTTGTAACTAAAGTGTATTTCTTTCAAAATAGAGAAGTTTAACTTGCATTTTCCAATCGAAAATGTCCTTGCCGCAAGCTTGCCCCCGCCGGTATACCGACAACGGGCACCTCAGTTTGTCTTCCAGATGGTCACCTGCTGTAACGCGTACAAATGCCTTCACAGTTCTTCCACCTCTCTCGTCTCAAATTCCGAGACCGCCCGCAACCCCCAAGCCCTACCGTTGCACCACCCCCTCGAAAAAAGAAAAGTCAGCTTTTGTGATACTAACGGAGATTGCGCGTTCGAGAACCCCCTCACCACCAGGGGGTCGCGTCTCTCCTTTCCGCGGCAGGGGCTTCAAGGCCTCCTCGTCTTCGAGACATGCGTCCCCTTCTCCAGACCCCGGGAGCACGCGGAGAAAAGACCACTCCAGGCCTCGAATCGTTAAAAGGGTCGTTGGAAAATCCGCACCGTCCAGCCCAAGTAAATATTCAAGCATACCCGGACCAATTCCACGGAGAAGTTCGCTCTCACCAAACAGAGCAAAAATATCGATAAAACCAATAGAAAAAAGTGGGAATAACTTTTTAAAAGTGGAATCTATACTAGCAGACAAGGAAAAGATAGCAAGAAAACCGTCGTTGTCTTCGAAAAACGTAAAACTGAAGGAGGATATCAATTCAAAGACGCCTAAAGTGTACAAACCGATCCTAAAATCCCCCACAAGACTCGATAAGAAAGATGGCAATAACAATAAAATGATCGGTGTCGCGACCGAATCAAAAACTCCAGCGAATAAAAATGAAATAAGCAAAAACAAATTAAACCTCAGGGTCGGGAAAGAAAATGATACCGTGAAGCCTAGAAAGCGCACCAAAGTTGTGAACGCGAATCTCCCGCAACATCCCTTGAAAACCGTCAAGCGAGACTCTAACAACCCGACCGTCATTCCAAAACCCCCTCCGCCTGTAGAAGAACGAGCTCGGCCTAAGTCTAGGGTCAGCTCAAACCAAAGAAAGCGTAGCCCGTCCGTACCTCAAAAGAAAAACACGTCTTCCATTAATAACAAAAGCCCTAGTCACCTTAGTGGTAGAGGTAGTTCACCAATGAAACCGATAAGCAAACCCAATAACAGGAACAATTCGCCGTTAAAACCGAACAGTAAGCTACCTCCAGTAAACCCGATTAGTGAAAAAAAGGTCGCGGATCTTGAGAACAACAACGCGGGCAGTGGTTCCCCAAAACCCGAGAGTAAAAGCGATCAAAAAGTCAAAGATATCAGTAAATCCAACGCAGCGGTGACCAACGGTGCTCAAGACGAGAAGAACGGTCAAAACGCTAGAAACACTCGAAACGGTGACCAGCCTCAAAATGTGAAAAATGGCGGGAACGAGAGCCCAAAGAAGGAGACGGTGCGTAAGACGAACGGTGAGTTGACGAGGGTGGAGGTTGTCAACGAGAAGAAAGCCCAGAGCGAGTCGAAAAACACCGGGTCTCCCTCGAAATCGCGTCCGTCGAGTGGGAAAGAGGAGTCATCGACGAGGGTGGTGACTAACTCAGTAGCAGCGCCATCTGAGCCGAGCCATTCGCCGAAAAAGATGTCGACGATGAGCCCCAATAAGTCTTCCAAGCCGACAGCGAAGCAGATCAGCCAAGTGCAAAGCCAAGCCCAGAGCGGATCTTCTTCCGAGTCGGTCCGTTCGGGGAGCTCCCGCGACACGGTTCGGGCCGTCGCTCGTGTGAAAGGCACCGTTCTTCCGAACAGGTCTAAGGTTGGCAGCATCCACGGAAGTGTCAAGGGTGGACCTAATATGGAGGTCCTCAGCGCCAACACCCTCATGCGTCAAAGCAATAATTCCGGTCGTGCCGGGAGTCACACGGCTTGGCAAGAGCCGACCATCAGGTAAGCCCTTTTCCCTCCATTCTTAGCCTATCCTGCTGCCGTGATAGCCAAGAGAGCAGTAAGTGACAAATGTTCAAAATCGAGTTTCCTTCGAAATTCGTCTAATCTCTTTTAGATGAAATCTCTTAAATAGTTAAAGCAGCAAAATTCATCTTAATTGTATGAAGAAGAGGCAGATGAGATAGCCGTGAGTGCGCAAAAAATGACGTGGTTTCAGGCAAAACAGCCGTAAGTGACGTTATTCCTCAATGAAATGCAATGAAAGAAAAGTACAGTGCCGTTCTTTCAGTTACACACCAACCGCTGCTGACCGCATTACGTTTGACGCAATGCGTGAAGTATTCATGGAGTCTTGTAGGCGCTAATGTGTTTCATGCTGACCGGCGCGCCGAGGGCTTCTCCTTTCCATCTCAAGTCCTCGTCAGCATTGCTCTCTGCGCCGCTCCAAGCCAAATTGCGTGTTTGGTTTCTCTCTCAACTAGACTAATGAAAGGCGCTGTCTCTTGTAATCACCGAAAGACGAACAAATTAGAAATTACTTTACTTTAACTCTCAGGAAATGAGAGATTTTTTTCGCCTTTTCTCGTTTATAATTTTTTTTCTGAATCAGATTTTTCTCTTGATACCTACATTTGAAAAAATTACAACATTTGCCGCCATGGGCTGCGGCCCATGTGGCCACCCCCTAAATCCGGCCCTGGATAAACGTATCCCCATCATTTCTGAGAATTTTGAGAAACCTACTAAACGCGCTGCTTAAACTGCCGTGCTAAGGAAGAACGCCGTATGAACCCTCAGATGTCGCCACGTTTTAATTTACTGGGAAAATCGTGAATACTTTTCTTCAATTTTTCAGACAACGTTGTTAGCAATTTCGTCTAAAATGTCTGAAAATTTCAAGGAAAGATACGCATAATTGTTCTCAAAAATACATGTTTTATCCGGGGCAATTTGGCAACTCTTGAATGTTCATACGGCGTTTATCCTTAGCACGGAAGTATTGTGAAAGCACTTGAATTAGCCCTTAATGTAAATCCAGGGCCAATGCCGTCCTCCCTCTCCCTCTTTGCGGCTCGGCAAACTGTCGTTAGCTCCCTTCCATTTTTTTGGTTCCTTAATTCATTCAGGAACGAACTTAGCCCTCTGACGTAATGATAGTGAATTATGTTGAAAAAGCACATTATTCGAATCCGTGAAGAGAGGAACTACGCGGGAGCAGCTCGGATATTTCTGGGAAGGTATAAGAAATTAATGGTTCGTAAGATCTCGTTTTTAAAGGGAAAGTACGTGCGACTGCTTAAAGTAGAGGGTGGGTTGTTCCACTTTTATCTTGATCTTAGTTACGGCACGAGAACTGGGTCGATACATCTTTCGGCGGACGCCGCCGCGCCGCGCAGCCAGAGGCTTCGGGGTGGAGGGGACGATGGGGTGAGGAGTCGGAGAGGTGGCAAGGGTCATAGTTATGGTTATGGGGATCACTAAGTCCGTGCAATATTGGTTGACCATTATGACATCAAGGACTTTGCACGCAAACACCGCTTCGTCTAGTGAGGCAAAGCAAGAGCAACCACCTACTTTAACAGTTTAACCTCTTTCTTTATCCGTAAGAAGAATGATGATGGTAATTTGTTCTTACACATTGAGTGGCTGTAAATACTACTTCTGGCTCTCTCTGCCAAGTTTGGGCTGTCCAGCGGGCCGATTATTGAAATTAATAGACTAAGTTATAGACAAAGAAGACAAAAGGAATATGGAGGGATCCTATTGGTGGAAGCGAGTGGTTGCAATTGACAAAGGAATAGACTAACTAACGGCAACCCACCAGAGACCCCATAGTTAGTCCATCGTTTTCCCCTTAGTCTATAGGAACCACACATATTAACCAACAGAATTGCTCCATACTCTCTATGTCCTCTTTGTCTATCGCTTTGTCTATCAATTTCAACAATCAGCCCGTAGATACGAGTAATTTTGATATCAATGGTGATGAAAGAGACAATCCAGTGACTTTATGTGATTTCATGTATCTGCTGAAAGAGGGGTTGCTAAACTTTTGTCATGCGTTGATCTCAATCAAAAATCAAATTTTAATACCTCTTTTAGTGACACAAACACTCTTCTTCTGAAAAAGGAAAGGCTAGGAAAAGTTATTACCCACGTGACAGCGTCATTGTGTCAAACACCTCAAATCAAAATTCCCCAGTTGGTTGACAAAATCTGAGGGAATTTGATTTAATCTTAGCAGGATCTTTGTGATGCCTACACCTGCATTTTTGTTGATGATCCTACCATTTCTCCCTGCTTCGCAGCTATCTCTCTTGCCCTCACTGAGGCGCGTAAGCAAAAACCAATCATCGATTTCAGGCCTTTGGTATAGGACTTCTAAAGCCTTATTAGCCATTTTATTCATCCCAGAACAAAGCTGCAACAAACAGTATCAGCCCGAATTACATCCATTATTTAATTGAAATAATGACCCCTGAATTAGGAGCCAGTTTAGCAGCCATGGGCGAAACTGGGAATTTTTCATGGGAGGAGGGGGCTGAAGGGTACGTTGTGAAGGGGGTGGGAGGTCTGGGGGGCGCAAAAACACTCAATGAATGGGAGTCCGCCTAAGCGGGACTTTCCTGGCTCCAAAAGAGCGTTCGAAGAATTCTCCTAGCTTTATAGGGGAGTCCGCGGGGGCCTATTCTGGACATTTTTTAAACATTTTGTTGTCTCAGGAGCAATTTTGAGCTCTGTTCTCACCAAAAAAATTCATCCAATTCCATTATCCAAGATAAAAGACGTGTCATGCACTTACTTAGCAAAATCCCTCGCATTTCTTGGGAGGGCAGGGGCCATCCTTCCGCACCCCTATTTCTGCCCACGGCAGCGCGAGATGTTTTTTTTTTTTTTTTTTTTTTTTTTTTTTTTTTTTTTTTTTTTAAAGTTAACGCTGAAGTTACATCTTAAAATCAAATTAGTCCCCGGAAGCTCGACCAATTTTTGTTTTCTTATTATAGCTTAAATTGAAAGAGCCCACATCGTACTTCAATAGCCCTGAGGGAGACAATTCACTCTAGAGGGCAACCGCGAGAGGGAAATTTTCTTCAGTCACCATCAAAATTTTATCTGCTTGTAACTTGACTCATTTAAACTTCCAAAATTTCGCCTTTTCTCGGATTTAATTTCCTAAACTCATTTCCCTTTCAAACTTCAAAGGGTTGATTCATTCAAAAGCCAGCTGCATACATTGATTTATGAAACTGATATTTTCCCCCGTGCACGTAGACAAAATAATACCGATATAATCATCGGCTTTGTCATCCCTCCCAAAATATGAATTTATTCAGTTTCAGATCCATAAGCAAGTGCGTGTCTTTCGCTTTTGAAAGTGTGCATATCGTCAGCGTGGAAAAGCCGCAGCTAGATTCATTCTATAACTAAGTAAAAGGTTCAGCGGAATTCCGTGATTGAAAGTGGAAAAATGTGAGGGTTTAATAATCACCGAGTTGGAGGTGTACACGCTACGGTGGCCTTGAGTTATAGGTTCTTTTACGGAAATTCGTGTCGCTACTGGAATGGGGTTGAAAATATTTATGTATGCGGTGACTGCGCTACTACCAGTCGAAGACCGGACTTCACCTCCATCGCATCAGCTTTTGATTCTTCTCGGGTGTGACGTGATTATTTCTTCCATCAACGTCATTCAGACGGACAGTGCGCTCTTGTTAACGTGCTCCCCACCACAGAGCCCATTGGCCACCTCGAGCTTCGGGCATATTGTGAAAATTACGAATTGAGTTAGCTAGTTAGTTAGTTAATTTATCTATAGACATTTAGCATCTTAGGCAATTAACGTCTTTACAAAGAATATGAAAGATGGGTGCATATACAAAAATTCAGATTTTTAAATTAAGGGAGGGAAAAAGTTTCAGTAGTTTGGTTGTGACATTGGGTTCATCGCAGGTTACATTTTTCAACAAAAGAGCCTCCGTATACTGACTCGATCGTAACACACAAAATTTACTACCACTGTTTACACGGCTCAAAAGATGTGATCAGGAATGACAAAAATATGGCACAGTAGGTACGTCTGACACTGTTTAGCGGGGTTTGTCACCTCCTCATCACCTCATTCAGCTCTGATTGCCTCTTTACTTTTAAAGCGTGCCCGCTAAGCTTTCTTTAAATCGCTTTGCTTGAAGTAAAAAAGTAGCAAATAAATTCTCTCCAGTATTACTATATCATATAAAAGATGAGCTTCATCCTCTAAAAGTCTGTAACGGCTGTTCTAGTTATTGAATTTCTAATAATTTATGCCAACTAAGCTGTGAGACAGTTATATCAATCGAATTTTGCACGCTTGATAATGCATTCTGCCATCTTTTCCGAGGGTAAAACTCACCTAAATTTAGGAGTCTTTCATCTTTCATAAGCTGTTTTATTTGTCATCTATAACTAATGTCATTCCTAGTGACGTGGGAAATTAAGGTAAAAGCTTTGAAGGTTTTAAGATTTTTCGCCTCAACGCCCAGACTAGGAGTTTTTTCAACAATTAACAAACTGACTGTCCATTTCTTTACAAACTCTGGTTCATTTTAACGTAAAAACATCCACTTTTAGGTGGGAGAGTGAGAAATTCGCAGCAGACATGGCAACAGGGCATTCAAAGTTTGTATCTCTGCTTACTCTAAGGCTGGAATTATCGAATCGTTATTAAGTGACTATAATCAATGAGTGCCATTGCTAAGATGTTTATCGACCTATCGATATACGACCTATCGATCAACGTCATTCGATAACGATCCAACAATTGACCCGCGACAGAGGACATTGCATGATGAAGATAGAGACAGTATTGCTAGTGATGAGCTTATTGTCAGCCTCCTTTGCTAGCCCTTGGACCGCCACAGTGGTCTAAGCCATTCGACACTTCTATGATCTTTATCATTGAATATAGGTATAATTAGGCTTATCTATGATATTTTCGCCGTTTCCTGATGATGAGACAATGA